GTTTTACATTGAACAAAACTGTTAGGTAAGACAAAAATGTAGAGTGTAATATGAGTCTGAATTGGAATGAAAATCCTAAGGAATGGAAAAATTAAGTATAATAAAATTTTTTTTTTTTAATTCTACTGTGACGTGAAAAGGTTAAAACAGGAAATAATATTGTGTTTGTGTTTCACCACATTTTAAAAAAAGTTTTTGATCAAAATCCAGTCTAATATTATATTTTATACATTGCATAACTAATAACTTACTTTCATCATACTTATTTTTATAAATATTTTAAATTTAAATTTAGTTAGAGTATGATACAAATAATTTAGTAGTATATTGTTTCAAGTTGTAGAAATTAAGATTAAAAATTTAACTTTATCAAAAGTGACAAACCTAGTCGAAGTTTAATTGTATTAAATACTTTATATTTTTTTATGTTTGCTTACGTTTTGATAAAATTTTAAGGAAATTTAAAAGTCTTCCAAGTATTATATATATAATAATTTATCTTAAAATGTGTTACGCACAAGGCCGTATCTGGGGTGTCTGGACCCTCCTCCCCCCGAGATATCTTCAATATTCTAAGAATATTTAAAATACTCATTTATTTTAATACCAACATAAATATTTTCAGTCAAAAATGACTTAAGCTCCAACCAATCATTGACTGCTTTTAATTTTCTACCATAATATCATATAAAAATATGATATTAATTGTAATAAAAGAAGATTACATTTTTTTCTGTCTTATTTTTAACTAAATATCAAATGTTAAAATATAAATGAAATAAAATTACAATATACAGGTTTTGGGCTCCTTCCGAAAAAAATTTCTAGATATGGCCTTGGTTACGTACATTTAAGGTTAGCTTAGAGTGTTATTATATTTGTAAAGTATGACTGGTTTCGAATTAAAAATTCATTATCAGGTATATATAAAGATAATAAAATTACGACTGAATATGAAAAAAGTTGCTATTTTATTTTAAATAGGCAAAAAAATAATTCTGCATGAAAAAATAATAATCAGAGCAGGGTTCAAATTTTGACCTCGGTTGAAAATGTTTAAACATTTTTCTACGTTTTCTCAATCATTCGGAAAAAACTGTGGAGGGATTTAAAAAATGACAACAAGACCCATCTTTCTTTTTTGATTTTGATGATAGGAGCACTTTTTCTGATTGAAATCGTTTACACAAACAAAAAAAAAAACATACATCATGGTGAAACCAAAATATTGCTCGTTTTACATAAAATTTAAAAAATAAGAAAATAACTAAATTGTCTTGTTAAAAATAATAATACATAAGAATTTATACTTATTATAACGTGACCTGTGTTAAGCATTATCTAGATAAATTATCTAAATAAATTATCTAACTAAATAATTAATTATCTTTTATCTTATCTAGATAATCAACAAAATTAGTTATCTGATGAATCTACCGTAATTCATCTAGATAAAAAAAAATACAAATATATTTACTATAGCAATTTAAAAAATTGAACTTGAAAGTTAAAAACTAATACAAATTTAAAATTAATGATTAATGTATTATAATTATTAATTTATTAACTTTATAATGAATCATTATTATTTTAAAAGTTGTGTTACTGCAATATTTGTTTTTGTTATATTATTTAAATTGTGCCTATAAGTATTATTTTTAAAAATTGTTTACACATTAAATAAAGAATATTCAATTTATACTTTTTAATGACTCTTATAATATTTGATTCCTGAGAAAAATAATTAAATAATACATATTTTAATGGTTGAATCAATTTTTTAATATTTTAATCATAAATATTACTCCATAATAAGTATTATATAAATTGTAATGAATTGTTTTATAAAATTATAATATACCTACAAAAAACATATTTTGTTTAAAAATAAGTACCTATTATTTATTACTTATTTCTCATGTATAAATGTAAATAATATAAATATTTGTTGTTTATTATTTATATTGGATCTTTGTATTATAATTTAAAATATACAGGTGTATATTGTTGTGAATTAATGCATGTTTTGACACACCTAATGTTTTAATATCTGTTGAAATTATTTAAATTAGTAGTAACTTATTCAAAAAAGTAAGATAATCTTAAATTTAATTAAATTAGATGATAATAAATATAATTTAAATGCATTTTAGGACAGTGCCTTGATTAAAATATCACCCATAATAAATATTTAAAATTCCATTTTAAATTTCAAATAGTTTTTTTCAATAACGTGTACACATTGACATTATTCAGTCGAGAAAAAGCATTTCTGATTGAAAAGCGATACTTATTGTATGTTAAAATATTTGAAAACCTTATCAAGGAACAAAGTATAAACCTTTACCTTTACATCGTAATTCTATAACACATATTAATCAGTTTTCAGGGGACTTCTATTTTTCTTTATTAGTATTTTTTATAGGAGTTAGACAATTTTACATGAACGTCACTATATAGTACGTCTGTTTCGTTAGTTTTTATAACGGCCCATTATTTCGTAAATTCAACATTGGTACCTACATGTATTTTAAGTGGAAGTGACGGGTGGACCTATATATAATTATGATTACTAAATTAAAAATTGATAACTTTTGTAGGTGTAATTTTAAATACAAGATTATTTGATTCTACCAAAACCCTAATATTAGAGTAGCAAAAACTTGGTTGATGTCTATTTATTTATTTATTTTTACTTGGTGGATTACATTACTTTTCTTATTCGTTTACTGTATAGATTGTAGAACGGTGAATAAATATATCTAAATAGGTTAAACTGAGTTGATTCGTATTACTGATGGCATATTCGTATGACATATATTTTACATTTATTTACATTTTCCTATCTAAAAAGTAAATAACGTAAATCAGAAATGGAGAGAGAGGAGTAGTTCAAACATTATCGGTTTCGAGGAATAGTTGGATAATTTCGTTTACCTAGTAATTAAATAAATAAAATATCTCATCAACAAAAAGTCGTAGCATGTTAATTTACCCCGTTCGATTCGTTGGGTTGTAAATACTTAAAAAAAAAACTTTTAGTCTTTTCTAGTCTAGTAGTATCTAATCAAGAGATTAGGTTGATTATATTTTCGAAAAATTGGGCCTCCACACGAGTTTTCCTCAGTGAGGCCTAGTAATCTCTCGATATTAATTTAAATAAAAAAAAAATAAAAATATTGTCGAAAGAAATGTGGATTATGTTGTTTTATCGGAATTACGTTTGAAACATTTATTCTACTTATTTTACAATACAATACAAAACTCTACAATACAAAATAGATTTAAAGAAAATTATCATTTTAGAAACTTATAAGCCTTATGTGAGCGTTTGTATTATTTTATAAAAACATGTATTATTATACATAATGAACCTCATAATATTTGGAAGTATCTATTGGCAATATACATAGATAAAAATGTTTTTTATATGATTAAATTGTATTTTTTCTGACACATAATTGTTTTTACTATTGTATTGAAGCTATTAACTTATTTAAAGTTTCAACTGGTCGCGAGTTGAACGCAGTTTTAATTAAGCATTCCTACGTATACTAAATAAATCTAGCTTAAAATTCATTTTGAAACCATTAAAAATTAAATACTTGTAATTAGTCTATCGATCGTCCATCCAAATGGACGTGTTTATATAACTCTGAAGTTTTATTTTTTTGTACGACGGAGGACCTTGTAATAGGCAAAATGAGTACTGAAGCACGACACATTAAGTCAACAACTTATGTGATTTGATGCAATATACGAGAAATTGTTTGTTATCGCGTTTTACCATATACACCAGAGTAAATGTTAACAGTATTTATGGATGAGTCAGTATGACTAACAGTTCATCACTGTGGGAGTTGATGGATTTTCCTTAGTCTCATTGTAGTGAATTTAAAAAGGTGATCAGCTTATAAATGTTTTCTTTAATAAGCTTGATTGGATTAAGGCACATAAAAAATTGAGGAAATGGAAGATTTTTGATGCTTATATTGTAAACTTTTGAAACAGTGAAAATAATTTCTGTTTGAATAGCTTCAATATCCTTGATTGGAGTAGAGTGATGTAAATTACTAATCATTACTTGAATTGGTTGATGACAGGGTAATAATCTATGAAAAGATAAATTATCTTAATTCAAAATTTGAGGCATGAATTTAATATTATTTTAATGGTAGGATGGCTATGATTATTTAAAGTATATTTTAAAACGGTAAAAATAAATCCATTGGGACCAGGTCAAACGATAAGATCAGTTTTTAAGTCTAAGAAATAAGTAAATCTTTTTTTCTCGTAAATATGGGGTGACCTATTATTAGAATTGTCATTATTTTTAGGCAGGGATATCTCGTGTTAGACTTGCAATGATTCCAAGGGATGAAATTGCTTATTTGGTATCCTCAAATTGAGAAGTATATGGGTTGGACGAAATTGACATTTCTCGTTAATGGCTTTAGATGTTGATGACTATAGTTTTCGTTTTAGTATGTTATTTGAAGAAGTGGCTGGATTATTTAAATTCCAATGTTATATAATCATTGTAAAGTTGACTGTTATAGTGAATGACTCCGATGATAACATCAATAAGTATTTTAAGATACGGTGGTTGACTCAGTTCTGATATCAAAATATTATAGATGAATTTATGTGTGGTAATTCAAAACCAACTGCTACGTAGAAATTATGTTATATAAATGTAGTATAAAATAGCCATTTAAACCTTTGGTATTATGAACATTTAAAAATATGTAATTCGAAAAAGTATTTTTCATAAATAGTCATCATATAGCCTTCATTATTATAATATATTCATAATAATATTATAACATTTATAACTCATTGAAATCAAAAGTAATGGGAGGTTCTGAAATTATTCCCCAAGTACAAATACTCAGTTATTCCTTAAGTGTAACTTTAAGGTTATTGCTTTTTTATTTATTTATTTATTTTTTTTTTGTAAACCATTACAATAATACGTTTTATGTTTCATATATTTACAGCTACAACGATTTCTGAGGAAACATGAAGTGTCGTTACACTTTATTACTGTTCGTGAGTGTTTTGGTGATCCTGTTAGCCAACCGGGGTGAAAAATGTTTTGCCGAGGGCGTACCGATATCGGAGACTTACAGTGAGTAATTTAGAGATCTCAGTTATTTTATAATTTTTTTCTGTTGAAACATTTTTGTCAACCATTTCCGACGTCTTCTGAGTAATGAAAATATAAATTATATTAAATTAAATTATTCGCATTCAACCGTCATAATTTTGAGATGAGTTTTACAAAAATTATACTCCAGAAAGACGCGCAATACAGACAGATATATATACATGTATGACGCGTGAATACACACACTTATTTATAATAAATAAATATAGTAAATATATTTATCAGTACAATTAGGATTTACAATAGAGTACAATTTTTATTGACAAATAGTTTTAAATTTATTCTATATTATTTTAAATAGCAAAATATTCGTTTTTCGTTTAATGTTAATACGTCGTTGTGTATTTTATATGTATTAAATCAGTGGTTCTCAAACCGTGGTACGCGAAAGAGTACTATGATTGTAAGCGAAAGGCCGGATGGTGGTAGAACGGAAATTAAAAATTCAATATTTAACTCATATATTAATTTAAAAACACTAATAATTTTGTATCAATAAATAAATAATAATTTTATTTTAGTATTTTATTGTTTTTTTTATTTAAAATAAATGTATTTAACTATGTGAAATTTGTATGGTTCTATTTTTAATCACTAATGTACGTGACTGATTGATAATATACTCAAGTGGTACGCGAAAAAAAAAGTTTGAGAACCGCTATATTAACTACTAAAAACGGTTGTTTGGTTAAATATTTCACATTAAACGAGTTATTAAATAGATTTTTTATTTCCCCATAAGTGAAATTAATCTTTTTCACGATAATTTATTATAAATACATTGTTATTTTTTGCATAACCAAAGGTTTACAGATTTGTGGCGTTTTTTTGATGGTAAATATCATACCCAACGTTGTTCATGTTATTATGTGCGATTGGGTTTCTGAATAGATAAATAAAATTTTATAGTTAAGTTTTTTTTATTAAATCACGATTCGCAGACTAGAATCAAAAGTCTTCTTATGATAATTCTACTTGTAAAATTATTGGGTCTTATTAATGTCAATAAAATACATTTGTTAAGTTATTTTTGAATAAATCTTTTACTCATGAAATTTTATACATTTAAATAATTTATTTATTAGTTCAAAATGAATAATTACACAATAGAATATATTATATAAGCACATAAAAATGAATTATCATTATATTATACAGTCGGGTAATTTCATTATTATCTAAGAATGTTATAATTTAAATGTACCTAATTTAAAAAGTAGGTGAATATTTGAATTAAAAAAAAAATATGATTTCATAAATTATAAAAATATAAGATAAATCTATAAAAGTATTTTTGTGGGAAAAAGAGAAAGGAAAAATTTATTAAACATCAGATTAATATTTGTTAAAAACGAATATTTCATAATTGAAAAAAAGTTCATTCAAATTTTCCAATTTGAGTGTGATCGTATAATCAACGTTTTGGTGTATATTATATAATATATAGTATAAATTATTTTTCGTTATTTGAATTTATTTGAATTTGAAATTGTATCTAATACTAAATGAAATTCATTTCTTTATTAATTTGTTTTTTTCTTTTTATATTTACAAACAATTTGAAACATTTTATAATAAATAGTTTTATACGTCTTCCTATTTTATGTAATATTGTTCTTTTTTGAAGTAATATAAATTTGAAACTGCTTTTTTTTGTGTGAAATATTCATTGAATATCATAGATAGTGATATCTTTATTTTTCGAAAAAATCCGACGGGTTTATCTATTGTTCAACAATAAAAACATACATTAAATATTTATTACTCTTCAACTAGGTAATTCGAAGATTTAATTTGGAAATTAATAATTATTTTATTATTTAATTATATGATGAAGGAAATCAATACATAAATTATTTTATTGATGAATTCAGTTAGTTCGCTTGTGACTATGTTCATCGATTGTGACTGTTATTTTTTACAAATAGTTTAAAAACAGTATAATTTATTTCTACTGGTACTTTATAATGAGATTATTTTAACAAAATATAATTTATAAATATTTAAACTTTTTAATACCAAAGTTACATAAAAAAATGAGTTTACAATAAAAAAATACAACATTAATATTATCTTGAGTGTAAACCAGTGGCCAGGTCGGCGAAACAGTGAGAAGACTTTCTTCGAATGAGTTTCCTTAAATATTATATGTTTTTCTCCAATATTTCAGAGCTTTTTTTTATAATTATAGATCAAAGAAAATAATATGAATAATAATAGTAAAAGTCTGAATTGACTGATGAGGTCATGTCAACTGTACAAGTACTATCAACTGAATTGATGATGATGAGAGCATATTATATAAAAATCATACAATGACCGATGTTCCTAAATATTCACCGAAATTTAATGAATATATAAATTCAACATTTTGAAAATGTATACAATGTATCATGGAATTATTATATTAGTATAACATCAATAAAGCTGAATTCACTAATATATCCTTGGTATATATTAATGTATATTAACTATTTCATGCACACAAGTATATTGTGAAAGATCGTTTTCCAAACTAAAAATAATAAAAAACACATTCATTAACAGAATTGAAAAAATTGTTTCTAAATTATTTTTAAATATTTATAATTTGTGTGTTTAATTAAACTATATATTGAGTGTTTAAATTTCATAAATGTATTTTAATTATTTAACTTGTTATACTATTGTCAAGTAAGGAAGCCTTAAAAAAATTGATGAAAAAATATACTCAAAGCTACATGTGGCACATCAGTGTCATTTCTTGCTCATAATTGGGCCTCTGGTAAAAAATTTACAATGAGACCCTAAACAACATAATTTTGAAATGAGATTCAATAACTGCCTACTAAAATATGTTTTTCTCGCTACACTTGAACTCTATTAAAAATTGTAACTTATTTTTGTTTTTATATTTTTACATAGCTAATATTATCAAATTATTATTGTGATAGTATATGTATATGTGTATAGTATATGTAATCGTTAACAACACTTGTCTTAATTTTTTAAATTACGAATATTTATATTTATATGCACTCGCTTTTTACAACACAACACGATAGGAGTTATACCTATTTCTATTATATAACGACAACAATAATTCAAGATTGAGATAAGAATAACATTTTAAATTTAATTCAAGAAAATAATTACTAGAATTTTTTATATTAGTATGCTTGTATAGGCTCCTATAAAAATAAACCACAGGGCTCCGGTGAATCCTAGATATCCGAGTGGGTTAGACCAACACTGGTATAGATATTATTTTTAATAATATTATCATTAAATCGTTTTAGTTCATTGGTATAAAGATACTCTAAAATCCATTTTGAATATTAATTTTTACTGTTTATTCATTCACACTTCTATATGTAAATTGTCTAACCAAAAGTAGAATACATTCTAAGTTATCATTAATAAAAATAAATTAATAATACGTCATGACATCGATGATACAAAAAGTTAAAATAATCACGCAATATTGCGCTTCATCGTTTTATTTGATTCATAGGTACATTCCATTTTTGGTTTGTATGTTGACTAAATATCGCAAAACATATAGAGAAATTGGAAACTATTGCTCAGTTAAGTTATAAAAGTTGGTGTTAATGATAGTGTGGAATTGCAACGTAATTGTTTGACTCATCTAGATAATATAGCGTGAACTAAAAACGTTAATAATAGGAACTCTTATTAGAAACTTTTGTAATGACGTATTCATTTTTTCTTCATATAGGCAGTATCACAAATTACTTAAATACTTTGAATTGACTAAATAACTTAACCATCAGCATTGTATTTTAAAATAATATAGAATAGCATTTTCTCATTAAAACATTATTATTGAACATATAAAATATAAAATGTTTCTTATATTTATACGTATTATATCAAGGATATATCTAAAATTTACAATTTAATTAAAATATTTATAAATTTTCAGAAGTGAAAAAAATAAAATAAAAGTGTAATTCTTATTTAAATATCACCCAAAATAATGCCAGGAATGCATGCATGCAAATAGTACGAGTATAACCGATGAGTTATTAAAAAACATATAAATTACTTATTGGAACATAATCAAATCCATTTAGTACTCATTTATATTTAAATAGATTTTGTATAATCATTGATTTTCTTACACTTAATATAAAATTCCTTCAAGTCGTTTTCAATTCTATATTTTTATAATTTGGATTTTATTTATATATAAATATATATATAGAAATCAGTTAGTTGTTAATTTATATAGATGAATAATTTAATTTTAATTTAAATATAATATAGGTTTTAAATTTTTAAATGGTTGTATAACGAGTAGAAAACAAATAGAGGTTAGAAATTTAAAAAAATGGAAAACGTGTTTTTGTTTAATATTAAAAATATTCATCAACATTCTGAAATAAGGTCGCGAATGTATATTTTACATTGTATGTTTCTATAGTTTCGAGAACATTTTCATCCGAACCCTAGTTTGAGATATTGAATAAAATCAATAAGTGGGCCATACACGTTTTGGTTTTCACGCCTCACAATAAATCAATGTAAATATGTTTTCTATTAATTCTTCCTTGGAGTGTACTTCGTTAATTTTTTATATCATTAGTATCACCATGTTTAGGTCCAAGACATTTAAATCAAATCCTCGTATCAGTTAATTATAATATTTGTAAGATGCATTATAGTATAATACTCATGATTTTTGTCACACAGTTGCGGTTAAGCAAATTGTAGGTAATACCTGAGTTGTGGTCACCGCGGAACCGATATTATAGGATTCATTTTAGAAATATAGGTAAAGGAAGGATTCGAGACCGCTGTCACTGTGGGCTGAATTTTCTTCTGTTACACAAGTAACCAATGCATGTGAAAGTTCCAATTCGAAGCTCAATAGCATGTTTTATCAGTCTCATCATCTTAATACTTATACATTTTTTGAAACCATTAATGAAATTTAAACTACTATTTATTTGAAAATT